TTAGTTCCCAGCTTGCGGAGCAAAAGGCGCACTTTCCATGAATCATCTTGACGGCTGAAATCCGTCTGGAACAAATCCTCCCAACGTTTGAACCACGCCTCGAAAGTGGATTCGGAATCAGCATCATAATGAAATTCAGTGATTGAATTCGTAAGAAGATCAAGTGAAACAGCCTGCGTGTCCCGTGTAGCTGCTCCGTTTGATTGTACGTTTAAGCACTGCGTTAAACTTTCAATCGGTTTCATTTTTGCTTCCATCTGGGATTGTTGCTGAAGAAGCAGCTTTTGAAAATGTTCGGCAGAAAAATTTGTAACATTTCCGTGCTTGTCCGTCGCCATTGTTAGATCTTCCCTTCCCGCTATTCCGAATTAACCACCCAGAAATTTCTCCGCAGCAATTCTAGCCCAGCCGAAGAAAAATCAAAATTCCAACAGCCTTGACCACGAAAAACGTGTTAACAAAAACTCTGCCAACGTAGCCAGAAAATGCCGCCGAAAACACTGTCCTCTTAACTCTGAGGCAAAAGTCCAATTAGCCGAGTGTTTGAAAACGCATTCGTCCGCTCGATCGATTGCCTGATCGACCGCACGGGTAGGCGATTCCCTTCAGCCCAGCTTTCAATCATCATTACATATTTTCCCTTTTTTATGTTTTTATCTGATTCCCGGATAATAGCAGAGCCTAGTCCGGAAAAGCGCCAGACGCGATTCGCCCTGTTGGGGCTCGACAGTGGCGCGCATTCGCTCGGTACTCTAAGGAGGATCGAACCCATGATCGCTAGAGGCAGATGCCAACTACCCAGTAGCTTAAGCCACTGAGCTATGGGGACGTTGGCTGGGCTACATAATTTGCAAACTAACTGAGATATAGCACCACTTATCTACCACTGTCACTGACAGTGGGTAGCCTGCTAGTTGATGACGTCCTCTCACTAGACGCTGTGTCCATAGCATTTGGAACTAGCAGAAACTGTTTAATTTCATATTACTTACGTGTAGCAGGATTTGAGTTTTAATTATGATAAGCCTTTCATCCCAAAGGTTCACAAGCTACATAGCAAAGCTTCGTCCAGAGAAGCGCCATATGAGTTTCGTGTTCCATCCTCCTTAGAGGACCGCGGGAATGCGCGCCACTGTCGAGCCCCAATAGAACGAAACGCGTCTGGCGCTTTTCCAGACTAGGCTCTGCTATGTAGCTTGTGAACTATTCGGATGAAAGCCTTTTCATAATCACAACTAAAATCCTGCTACTTGCAAGTAAACTGCATTTTGGTTTGCGTAGCTCAGATTCAAGAACTTCCACCCTTACCTACATATTCTGTCTCATTCAGCATGATATTGACACTGAATCTCTCTCTCTGTATTGGTGCATGCATCTTTGGTTCCTTTCGTCGTTGCTCACCTAACCATGAGTTGAAATTTGTCCGGGAATTTGAACTTCCGAAACGACTGTAGCATTAGGATGAACATCTACGTAACAACTAAGTACCCTATTTTGACGTACTATATTAAAACAACTTTTGAAACCTCTGGAGTTCGTCCTAGAAGACCCCATTCAGCCACCATATGGCATCTAACCTCTAATATATACTTACGTTAACAGGATCGAAACAAAACCTACCTCTTCAGCGTCACCAGCAGCATCGTTAATCAAATGCTGCATCACCAAATTCCGTAAAGTTAGTGTTAGTTTGCCATTGCCATGTGTAATTTGAAAACAGCTTAGCGCTCGAACTTGTCGTTTAAATTTTTAAATTATTCTTCATAAATTGACACCATCATCATTATCAGTCTCTATACCGGAGGCCTGAAGGCGACTTGCGTTTTCCGGAACGTGGGTCTCGAAATCCTCGCTTATTCTTTACTAAACAAATCGTTAATATACTGACAAATGGAGTGTTCGACATTTTTTGTTACCTGTTCTATGATTTAACCTACCGACTGTAGCTAGTAATGTTTCCATAAAGCCTCTATATATCTATCAGTGCTGTGTTTATTTTTTTTACTGACTATCTCGTGCAGACAAACACGGTTTTTAGGTTAAACAGCAGCAGTCGGAACAGAAGGCTTAATATTCCCATGAGATCGACATAAAAATTACTGATTGGACTTGTGTTGGTTAAGTGCTGCTGGAACTAGATATCAGTAACGTCGTACATTACGTTTTATGCTGTTAAGAACGCATATTCCAGCTTTTTTCGCCGTTTCTACCGTGATATTAACAAAAAATCTCACGTTTCGTTCTTCGGAAGAAAGTGGTCCGCTAGCCAGTGATAATTGCATCGTTGAACGAATGGTAATACGTTTACTGCTAGCATCCAGTGTGTCATATAAACACAGCCTTGAGGCAGATTTATAGATACCGTCTAAATACATATTTGGAAAGAAAAGTATAGCAGACTTAAGAACGGTTAACGTTACTACATAAATTTGCGGGAATTTTGATGCCGAACTTTCTGCTTTCTGCGGACGATCTCAAAGCCTGAAGGGCAGTCAATAGACAAGAGGATCACATAGCAATGTAAGGTAATCTCCACAGGGTTTACGTGTGGTCGGCTCAGAACATTCGAGTTTAACCCCGTCAAGTGTAAAAAGGTATGCGTGCAACCAGGTTATATAGGAATATTCACCGGGAGAACACGACCTGCAGGGCGCTTCTCATAAATCCAATCATAGGATGCGCGCCATGGATGAGCTCAGATGCTTAAAACTGGCTGAGAAGACAGTGCACAAGCCAGACAACACTTGGACATACTAATGACTGCGTTTGGCCTGGCTGACCAAATCTTCGTTTCGTGCATGCTCAGCACCTACGGAAGGTCACGTGTAGAAAAAACCATGAAGGCGTGGCAACCCTAGCCAAACTTGGCTTTGCTCATTTTGGGCATCTACAACGCAGGGTGGCAAAATATGTTAAGAACTGATTTAACTTCCTTACCAGTTTAGAATAAAGACTCTGGAGTGCTTGGCGAACACTATCGTCTTTTGGGAGGTGATCTCATATTGGTATACCAGATCCGCAAGCATCCTTACTACCCCTACAGACCCTTAGTGAAACTCGGCCGCAACATCTTAATGAGATACCACCATTTGCAATTGAAAACACCGGATAGTCCCGGTTGGAATGTTGCGGGACGCTTCCGCGTGTCGTGCATCCTAGCCGTGGAACTTACTTCCGCGTTCTGCCATCTTCGCTCCTACGCTAGCTGGTTTGACGTTTTCACTTAATACTGCACCACACCACCTGCGTTACATGATTTGACTCAAGTTACTGAAGCACGGACAACGTAACTAAACTATGTGTACATGTGAAACTTTCGGCGAGTCCACCACTACGCTTTACTTATATACATCCATTTTTGATCTCACTCTTTTTACTTTCGGAAACTGCTAAGTGTTTGTTTTATGGCTTTGCTAAATACATTTTTTCTACTGCACTGCAAAAATACGGGCAGCATCTTGCAAATCTTGAAGTTCAGCTTTATGACTTCGAAACCGGGATTCCACATTATGTGGACATAAATTTCACTCACTCGATTCAAAGCACATCACTACTGAAATCAGATTAGTGTAGGAGATCTTCCAAGCCTCGCAAAACCCTTGAATTTATATTCTTAGGGACCTCTGCTCGTAAGCGTTTAAACGGTGGCCCCGATGTTCTCTGGAAGCACGCTCTACTAGTTTACTGATGACACAATAACGACCAACCAATCCACCCCTGATTCACAGAGTATAAACATTTCGTCATTTCTAAAGTGATATGCGTGACAGCTAGAATTTACAGAAGTAAGCTGTCGGTACATTACAATAGTTCCCAGTTTGAGACAGTATATCGTTCCTTAGGGCTTGGTAAGTTTATATGCCGCGTCCATGGCTGGAGGTAGTCGGGGTGTAAATCTAATATCATTAATTATTGCATCCAAATCAGATGATGACGCAAGGAGCTTTGAATGATTAAAACATCATGCACCCTTACCAGACGGAGCTTGATCACAGTAGCGCAAGGGACCACCATCAGAAACTTGCATGACACGCCATAAACATTTTGAAATGGGTTGAAATCGCCTTTTGCTCCGGGTTCGTCAATCCTGAAATAGTTTATCATGGTTGTCGCTCCTGCCTACCCAATGAATCCCCGTAAACAACGGCCATCTATAATGCTTGTCAACCAGAGCGGCATTACTTTATGTCCAGCAGCATTAGTTGCATGCTTTGCAAATTGATTGCATTACCAAACGAGCTGCTACAACAGAATTAGTGCAAACAACGCATATTTTACACTTTTTAGATGCACACCAAACACATTGCACATTAGGGGATCATATTTTACGATTACTTTTCCCAAGAAAGTCACCAAATCGGATAGGTATAAAGCTTGATTCTTTACTCGTTATATTTCGAGACCTCAGTTGTTTAAGGTGGCATTACTTAGTGAAGCACTGCGTTTGCAATATGATGAACAAGATGCCTCCAGTATGCATGCAATTCACAGATGCCTTTTCCTAAAGAACTCTCTTTATACTTCTGCGCAACCACGACATCTATATGAGCAATATTAGAATCCTTCTTGCATCAACGAGAAACTCGAACTGATAATGCTTTCGACTAGCAATTTTTTCAATAGGTTAGTAAACTAGACTGTCAGCACGGCTTCGGGTCAGCGTTCATTCATCCAGTTGTGATTCGTTAATTGTTGGCAAATTCTAGGAATAGGATAGGATACGTGGTCACTATTAGTGTTTTACGGGACGCGGTTGGTGATCTTACACGAAGAGTAGCAGTAGTCGACCATCATAACATATACACACATATTTATTTATTTATACCTTTTGCTAAACCCAATTTCCGTGTTTTACATTTATGTCAAACGTAACACCAGGCACAGAGGGATGAACGGGTATGTCGTAATAGGTATGCTGACTATGCGTGAGTTAGGAATTTCAAATGTGTGAGAGTCACTGCGTAGATACTAGCTGGTTAATCGCCACATGCATCACTTACCATTGGCGTGTCGGAGCAAGGAAACCACGGAGAACTGATTGGGGTACTTTGCACCAAGTCCATTAACGCCTCATTGTTCCAACATCGAACTGGGAAGTGCTGTGGATCATGAAATACCATCCTGACCTTTCTCGCCATGCTTCGATTGGCGATGTTCCTCAGTTTGTCGATAATGAACATCTCTGTTGTTGTCATGACTGCCACTTGTGAAATGCGACCAAACGATGCGATGAGTGAAATGGGTCTCGTTATCTGTATACTTGTAGCAGTAGGCTGTTCGTAAACCTCATGCAGTGTCATCGCAGCCAGGAGCACATCAGTATGCCTTCGGTACCGGGACGGATAAAACACACCCGCTGCAACAACCGTGTTTTCTAGACCGTATTGGAATGCCTTCACATCTTGATTGAATCGAACCACTGAGTCAAAAGTCGGAAGGATTACCAAACATTTGAAATCCGCCGTACCGCCTTGCACCCTTTCGAATCCACATTGCCCCTCGCTTGGCCACCCCAACGTCACCAGTAGACGATCGTGAAAATGATTCTCACTACAGGTTCCGATGTAGCCTGGGTGGTCGAGCAAACGACTGTAGATATTTTGATTTGTGACTTGATTGACTTCATCATCCAGCGTCGTTAAGCAGTAGCGTAGACCTTGGCTTATTGAGGGTTGGTACTGGAGTTCAATTTGGTGTAATTTCTCAAGGGTTTGAGCATTCTGCAACTTGTCTTCCACTATTGCATCCAACTGCCGTTGTCCTTGTTCTTCCCAGAATGAAGGCGTCGCCACCTTGTCCGATAAAATTAGTAATAAAGTGATACAAAAGATTGGGCATTTCAAGGATAGGAAACGAAACATCTGAATGCGTAGACTATGGCATACTAGGTGCCCTAAACATGCAAGCCAATGTGAGAATTCAAAAAATTTGCTCAGGTTAATGTTGTTTATAGTGTCACTACTATTAAAAATATACCTAGCAATTTTGTGATAAGACAGTATGTGTTTTATCTACAGAGTAATTGCTTAATGTAGTCCACCACGTACGATTTGAGCAAGTGTTGCTTTGTAACTGTTTTGCTAGATGCCTGCCTTCCCATGATGTGGATCGCTATTTTTCAATACCAACCTTCTAGTATTGTAAAACAAAGATACATACCTCAATGTAATTTGCGTTGTGCAATCTCAGTGAAATTGCTTGGGCAAAGTCGTTAGCTTTGTATCCGTTCAACGAGCTGTTTGTGTCGCTTGTCAAGCTCTCTATCGAACAAATAGGGGACTCCAGTTAATCCTGGCATCTGCCTCGATCGTTGCCCAACAAATGCATTAGCTGGCTGTTTCCAATCCAATCCGTAATGGCCGATGATGGTTATATTTCAAGAACTCCGAGATAACGGAAAGAGACAAATTTTGCCTGTTGCCAACTTACTTAATTGAGTTTGAAGATCCTACTATTTCGATTTAGATAATTGGTGGTTTTTGTGAGCGGTGCACAGTAATCTGGCTCGACGGGGAATCAAACCCCGGACATACGAATTACCGGTCCAGCCGCTCTACCAATTGAGCTACCGGGGACAGGAAAAGGTGCGCAATTTAATACATGACTTCTGCTCGGTTCGCTATGTTTTGCCAATAAGCTCACAGTACCTGTCCAGGTGTTGCAGATTGGCTTACTCACTCGTCACTTCCCAATGAAGCGAAGTATGTCCTTCAGATATACAAAAGGCGATGGTGAATTTAGATGATTGGTGGTTTTTGTTAGTGGTGTAATATTGCAGAAAGTGAGTGAGTGAGTGAGCCAATCTGCACCACCAGGACGGGTACTATGAGCTTATTGGCAATACTTCGCGAACCAAGCAGAAGTTATCTTAAATTGCGCACCTGATCGCGTCCTCCGTAGCTCAGTTAGTAGAGCAGCGGACCGGTAGTTCGTATATCCGGGGTTCGATTCCCCGCCGATGGCAGATCATTATGCAGTTTTATCGTGGTTTCTACTTTCCACAACATTTCGAAGTTATTTTGTGCCTACTTGCTTCAAATCAGATGCACCTCAGATACAGCCAGGGCACCTGAAACTCACGCGAAGGTGTTTCGCATACTACCGTTAATATATGAGCTGGGTCAAAATGGTGGTTTGTAAGGAGTACGCCAATCGTTTGTTATAGACTCGTTACTGAAACAGAGCAGAACATTTCCTCTGCCCATGTTTCGCTGAGGGACTCCGCCAATAATATGTAACTTCATTGCTCCATGAACGAGTGCTGCGTACATTTGAATGAATTTTGGAATGTATTTCATTTCTGCCTACAATTGACGATGTTTGTTTGAGATACACCTGCTCAATATTTGCTTCGAATCAGAGCACAAATAACCGCACCATATCAAATATTACCCAGTAGAAACCAAATATTCATGCTCCTGTGGAGCGAACTACATTGCTTGTACGACAAGGTGCCTATCTGAGAGATGGAAGGAACACCACCCGGTCGGGCTTAGAACTGGAAACAGAAAAATAGCCGTTTTCTATAGTCGCGCTACTATTCCATAAATGGCACACTACAAACTTCATTAATACTTCCAACATTATCTATCGGCCTCAAAAGAAACGCTCGAACTACGTCGGCAAGTGGCTACTAGAAGCCGCTGAGGCAATTGCGATCCTGCTGTATGAGCCCGAGTAATATGTGCAGAAGCAAGCTATCCCGGTCCAAACGGCCAGTGATCTTTAAGCCAGGAGGTCACACGAGGTCGGTTGTCGTGACTTAACAGACAACACTGTCCGCATCCAAGTAACTCGCTCTAGGAGCAACGAACTTAACGTCCCTCTGTATAGTTTGACTTGCATCTAATTACATAAGCCTGAAGATGAATTATCGAAAACAAATTTCCGCTTACCCTGACTTTTGATCATACTATGTGATTTTGCACAAGCCAGAATGTCAGCAGACGCCTCCAGCTACCACTAAAAATCAGCGCGTAATCAGATGACACCGTTATTATTAACTATCCCTATTATTAACTCAAATTTTCTAAACCTGCACAGAGAAGAATAGGACATATATCGGCATGATATCATTCTAGCATAACGGCATAACTGACCGTCTCTTAATCTAGGTGGCCAGCTTCATCCTTCAAAGACAATTAGGGTCAGAGCATGAAGCTCCTCCAGTATAGTGTGGTGTGCCGCAAGGTTCGGTACTAGGACCACGGTTGATTTTGCTATTTATTAATAACCTCACACAGACAATCGCTTTAGATTTCCCACTGTTTGTGGGCGATATCAAGGCGTGACGCGCGAATCAAGTGGATGTTCATCAGAATTTGCTTCATTGTGGCCTAGACACGGTAGATCAATGGTCAAGTCAAAAGTTGCTACAATCCAAGGTGAGCAAATGCAAAGTACTCTTTGTACGACACCCCAGTAACTACTCATACGTGCTAGGAAAGCAACTACTACTACGGTCTTCCGTCGAACGCGGCCTGTGCGTACTGGTTCTGGATGGCCATGGTTGTTTCAGATAAACCGGTAAGGTATGGAAAGTTGGTAACCAAGAAGTCGGTCTGTTGAGAAGGGTGTTCGGACAAATAGATATCTTAATTTTCCTACATCTGCCCAGTGAGTATGTTCACCCTACTGTCGAATACGCGATCCAAGTCTGGCGTCAGTGGTTGAAACACGAACTCACTGCATTGGAGCAGTCTCAACGTCGAGCATCCCGGTCTGTCGTTGAAACGAGCAATCTCACATATTAGCAAAGGCTAAAATATTTACCAGTATTCAGCGGGCGGTATGGACGGTTACGAGGGTGCCTGAAGTTGCCCAACACAAAGTCGGAAGACGTAGATCGTGAGACGACGTCGTCATTTCGTGTATTCTTATCAAGCACAGAAACACACAACATTGGAACATAAGTAAACGGTGATAGGAAACGCATGGACCACCACGGTGGGCTTAGAGGTACTATCCGCTGTTTTGACCATACAGCGATGGTCGTTCGCGATCGATAGCGATAGCCACCAATAGCTTAAGGATTTTGGGCCGCTGATCGCGCAGTAGGACTGTGAACAACTCGTCAGGATTGACTCGGTGCCCAGTAGTCAACAAGTGTCCAGTGACTGCTGGGATAGCTCGGTCTCCTGAGTCAATTGATTCCATCGTCACAAATCCTATCCGGCTAGTTAACTACATTGGGATGTTTTCATTGTTTCTGATATCTAGACTGCGATCAGTTCGCCAAAAATAGCTGTTTTCACAACTACAGGTAAATTTATATAGACAGTGAAGCATGCATTACTTTGTCATCTGTGTCTTGAATACATTAGCATATGTCTAGTCTAGATGGGCAGCCGCAGTTCCACCGTCTTGTACGCATTTTTCATGAAGGCACTCATACATTTCTCGATGGACTTCATCACATTGTCACCTTATAAAGATAACTCAATGAAAATGGCTTTCCTTGGGACTGTCAGCGACTGTCTTGCTTGTTTGTTCCACAATGGCACTCAATGAACTTGACGTGATAATCTTTGGATTGCAGCATGTTTAATAATATGTTCCTTACTGCTTCTATAGTGTTGGGAATGCAGATCATGTGCGCCCAATAAAATAGTGCCCGGACAAGACAGCGTTTGTGTTCGATTGGATTGAACCTTGCACAATGCAAATACGGGCCAGTCCAGGTAGGCTTTCAGTAGAGAGGCCAACTGATGGTAGTCCATGTGTTTTACTATCTATGATCACTGTTTGCTTAAGTTCTAATATTGTATGTCTTTGTGATTTATAAGAACACACGAAAAGACGGCGTTGTTTCACAATCTGATTCTTCTGACATCTTATGTTTAGAATTACAAAGGGTAATGCTGGTTTCAATTTTCTCAAACGAAGACCTGATTTGACCTATTGGGCTCTGAAAAATCCGCGCCATACATGCCACACTTTATTGCAACTCAGTAATAAAATAAAACTTAGAGATCAGTCTGTGAAACTGGCAAAACAGTGCAGGGTCCTGGATTGCCGCAGAACTTCCCTTTCAACTTGATTGTGTTACCCGTAGTACGCTCTCGCCGAACCGGTAGCTCCTGCGCGAGTATTAACCATATTTAAAAGTCGTTTGGATGACGCATTCAGCCACATAAATTTTGTAACTCGTGAAATTTACGTTGGATTTATTAGTTGTCGCTTGTTGGTTCACTAAAACGATGTGCATTTCAGGATTGCAGCATAACAGGTTATAAGTCTTAATTTTGATAGTTAAATTGCTAAACGTATTTTAACGTTTTTCGATGACCAGCCAACTGGACTTTAAAAGGATTGCATCAACCTGTAGGAAGTTATTGTTCATTATTAAACAATAGGACCGGCGACGGTGCATCGTAGTTCAGTGAACGACCTAGCATGATGGTTCACCTACCGAAGTGACAACTCCTTTCTATCTACAGGTTAGTGTGATGCTGTTTCGCATCAGAGGAAAATGGATCTAAATATTAGTGTTCAGTTTCGCGTGTTGTATTTGTCATTCTCAGCATAATATGTTCCTATTTACTTTCATCTACGCTTCACTCATCTAACCTTGGTTTTAGTTATCACTTCGTAGCGGGTCCTTTCCCAAGCATTGGAAGGATGCTATCGTCTGCCCGATTTTTAATAAGGGCGACATCTCCCTGCCAACGATAGACCGGTGGTTTGAAAACCACATTGGTCAACTTATTGGTGAAGTTGGTTAGGGATGTGTTTGAAAACCACCTGTGGGACTTCCGTCTCCTCAGTCTACTTCAAAACGGTTTTCGCAAGG